AGTGGACCCCGTTCCAGACATACTACTTCTGACAAAATCTGGTAGAGCCGGGAATCGAACCCGGACGTCTGGATCTGCAACCAGGAACTCTGACCACTGGGCCACAGAGACAGTCTATTTAAAATATTACAAGAATTAATCAATTTAAATGGCAAATAATATATCTCAATAATGATGTTTATATCTAAGAGTTTGTATTGCATTTTTATTATTATGAATATTCATCCTGTTTTAAGTAATGTAAACAACCTACAGGTATGATGAGCATGGAGTGTTTGAGGTTTACACTGGTGGTTATGAAGAGTTCTAAATTCTCGGATATAACGCCGTGTAGTCCTTTAAAAGTCAACATACGTTTCAGAGGAAAATATTGCCTCTATCTTCAAGGTTATTCTTATTCTACGACCCCGAAGATTGAGGCTACATTTTTCTCCGAAACATCGGTTGAATTTCAGCGGACTACACGGCGGTATATCCCAGAAGATAGAAATCTTCGACCTATGCTGAGATGGTGTGTTTTGAATATTTCTTGAGTTTTTCGGACTACCGCACCACAAATTTTGAGTATTTTACCCTGTTCTAAGGGCGATGCAGAAATGACTGGCACCAGCAACAGTTTTCGAACATATAAATTCAAAACAAAATAACACTAAAGGCTGACGTTCAAACTGAAATCATCAGTTCGCTGCATCCAATATGAAAATCACTTAAGTACCTGAGCGATATATGCACCTAAGTCTTAGAAATTTGTGATCAGAAGCAACTTACAGGTCTGTAGAATACAGGACAAGAAATTGCGAAACAGTTCACAAATGTTTCCCTGACTGCTGCTTAACGGTACAACCAATTCCTGACATACACAATAACAGACACAGCAGTTCATTGACAGGTGACTAGCGCAATGTTCTCAGTCAGAGACTATTACGGAATCTATTATTCAAAAGATTTGGGCAAAAAAAAATGGCCTCGTTGAATTCTCAACATATTGTGGCATCTATTATTCAAAAGAGACGGGTAAATAAAAGGCCGAATTGAATATTCAATATAAATTATGGCTCACAGCGACAAAGGCATAACTGTCTTGACAGAGACTAAAATCTGGCCATGGACCATAAAATGGGGTTCGACATCAGGAAAAACTGACTGCCTGACCGCCAGTCGAAACGTGACTTTGGCTTTAACTTTGATTCAACATAAATTTAAGTATAAGTGATTTTATTAAAACAGTTTTCGTAATGAATAAGGTCAGGATACTTTCTTTCTTTCTTTTTATAGTCCCTTCTTCAACCACTTTTTATTTACCAGTCAGAAGTTTATTGTAAGGTAAATGGTAAAGCTGTCCCACTGCTTAATAAATTCAACACCACATCTTGCAAACATAGGGAGAAGTAGAGATATTTCTTCCCAATGCTTAACCTAGACAACAGGTAGACTTGAACGGTCAGCTTTGAGCACCGGCCGCTTTACCCCAGCGGAAATGAACCCCGATGTCCGTTAGAGGCTGGATGGTCCCAAGAACCCGTTTTCCCGATGTAGAAAGGAGATTAATTTATTGCCCCTCCTAAAACTCAAACCCTGATCCCTCGGCTGTGCAGCCTGCAGCCCTTCGCTATACCGACTGAACTGTCTCGGCTCTGAGGGTTTTGATTAATTCATTTGATCAATCAAGGATCCGGTAGGGCTTGTTTGTTGGACTGCCTGGTCCACCACAATCGCAAGGTCTCAGCCAGCAAAGCAGAAACAGGGATAGAAACTGTATTCTGAAAGCGATTCGAACCAACGATCAGGAGAGGCACTGGGGCAGGATTTTCTCTGAGTTTACTTGCTTTTATCCTGCTAATCTTTATTCCGCCTGGCCGGGGTTCGATTCCCATTAAGGACAAGGGATTTTTATCTTCTCCAAGAATCAAGGCCGGTTGAGGAACCCACACAGCCTCCTATCCAATGGATGCTCTTTCCTTGTTGGTAAAGCTGCCGAAGCGTGAAGCTGACAACTCATCTGCATCTAGTGCCGAGATCAATAATGGTGGAGCTTTACCTACACTGTCGCATACGTCTTCACGGCATATTGCTTAATTAATTAAGCACAGGAACAACTTTACCTAAGTTCACTCCGCCTTTACTCCAGACACGTTCATGGCCCTGACCACGAAGCAAATTATCTAAGCTGGAGACTTCGCATTTGACTCCGCACTTGGCCAGTAACAAAGTCACGAAATTGGTCTTGTTTTGGAGATCCCTCCCACTTGCTGCTAACACAGCACAGTGCATACCGCGTTCTTTCATTTAGTCATAATGAATCAAACGTAAATGATCGTTCCAGGCCCAGGGCGGTAACCTCAGGGTTCAATGGCCTTCCTCTTATTCTAACTTCAGTTATACAATGTCGTGTTGGTATTGCAGCTACTGCTGTTTCGCAAGTGACCTTCTTTCTTTCCTCCACAGTCCTGCCTAGTGCAGTCCTCCTCCCTACAATAACAATGCTGGTACGTAGGAAAGTGGTCGCCCGGTGATTTCCAGTGCTTCATATTACATCACAACTTTCCTGCTGCTTTGAAATGAGCAGTGTTTTAAAAGGGATGTAAATTAAAGTATAATTAGAATGATAAGTCAAGTAATACGAGATGAGCAGTACACGTAGCACGAATGGGGAATAAAAAGAGAGCATGTAGGATTCTCAGAAGGAAAGAGACTACTAGGAAGACCTAGACGTAGGTTGGAGGATGTAGGTTGGGATGTGGTGTTATGGAGAGGATTGATCTGGCACAGGATAGGGACTAGTGGAGGGCTCGTGGTAACACGGTAATTAACCATCGGATTCCAAAAAATGTTGGTAAGTTCTTCAGTAACAGCATATCTGGCTACTTCTCATGAAGAGCTCAGCGTCATGGAGTTCGTGACCTCGGCACTATATACAGTAGATGTGAGTGGTAAACGACACAACGCAGCCAGTTTAATCCCGTCAGGAATCGCACCCCGATCCTCGGGTCGGCACACCCTAGCCCGTCGCTATGCCGACTCATAGAATATTTATATATAGGCAAAGTTGTGTTTGTACTCCGCCATGAAGACATATGGGGGATTGGAGGTACTAAATGGGAGTGTTCAGCTTCACGCCGCGGCCGCCATTACCATTGGATAGGAGGCTGGGTGGGCCCCTCAGCCAGTCTGAGCGTTACGGAGAAAAGAAAAACCTCTCCCATTCCGGGAAACGAGGAATATTTGTATACAGGTAATAAGAACATACCGGAATGCAAGTTGTTACAGATCCACTGCGTACAGGTACACACTCTAGGTGTCTGCTCCTCTGTATACTCTGCCTAGGTGTAGAGCTAGCTTTTCCTGCACTGTTCACGTTGCATCCCTAGGAACGTATGTAGTACATCAGCAATATTGCATTTAACTGTTCGGAACTCGGTAAGGTGTTAAGAGAGGGAGGCATAGATACAGTGACATTTCTCTGCAGCTTCCAGATGGATTCTGGGGCCCACTCAGCCCCCTATCCGAAGGGTAGACGGGGTTCTCTATTCTGACCTTTCTCCGATATTCTGCTTAGATTTCACCCATCCATCAGTAAAGGTGCCCTTGTTTAATCTTCCACACCACTTCCAGAAACACCCTTAAAATAATAGGCAAGGTGTCCCAGTGCTTAATTACGCACCACACTAAGTAGATATATGGGAGAGTGAAGGTGTATATTTATCTGTGGCTCAACAGCGCTTTGTTGGACCATTTTTATTGTTAGTGGGGTGGCACTAAGTCCCTTGTACTGCGGCCACTTCTGGCCTATTGTACTAGTCCCAGATGATGGGTGATGGTGATTGTGGAGTAATTGGTGGAATGAAGATTGGCAGGGGAAACCGAAGTACTCGGAGAAAACCTGCCCCAGCGCCACTTTGTCCCCCACAAATCCCACTTGACCAGAGCCGGGATCGAACCCGGGCCGCCGCGGGGGAAAGCCAGCGACTAACTGCTTGAGCTATGGTGCGGCCCTTTGTTGGATCTTGATCGCTTTTTCAGTTTCTTGATTCTTTACAGTCGGTAGGACTCCTTGGACGGGAGATCAGCCCATCGCAAGGCCGATACCTACAAACAGAACAGCACAAACATAGGATAAAAGCACACACACATCCATGCCTCAAGTGGGATTAGAACCCACGATCCCAGTGTTTGAGCGGGCGCGCCACTGTGATCGGCACAATAAACTTACAGTTTCATATAATTCTTAACCTCAGCTTTAGAGGGAGATGAGTGGACTGCTTCTGGCTTCGGCTGCTTTATTCCCAGAATTTTCAGTACGCATTAAACGGAAAGCTGGACGGAACCCAGATCCGGTCTGGACACTATGGAGATAAGAAAACGCTCTTGCACCTGCTGGGAATCCAATCACAAATTCTCTACCGTCCATGGCACAGCCTAGCCTGTATGACTTCTCCTATAAACTGGGACTGACATTGCAACTACAATATTGCTCTGATACTGAAATTGTAATACTGGCCTGGTTTCGTTAGAATCATGATCGAATTGCAGTGATACTGCCGAGTTATTTCACTGTACAGGAATATCGTGGTTCGACTGCCGGCAAATGCGCCTCTGGAGCCTATCCAGCCCTCTATACAATGAGTACCATGAAGAGGACCCCGAGTCAAACCGTCCGGAGTGTAAAACTGACTATTCATCGTCTAGTTCCAAGGATAAGAATGCATGGAACTGTACCTCTGCCCCCCTATACATTTTCATGCTGTGACGCTTAATGGAGTACATGCTAGCTTGCTTCCATCTACGAGAACCAACATTGTGTGACACACCGCCTGGTTAGTTACCAACCTACAACCAGTCCCCCATCGACACAATTTTGTTTCCACAAAGTAAAAGGTAATCCACAAGGCGGACCGGTTTACTCACACAAATGTCTTTTTATTTATTTTCATACATCCACCCCTTTAATGTGACCGCAGTCACGATGAAAGGTTGAAGACCTCAGCAGTTTCCTTACTTACCTGCAACAGACATCAACAGAAGCAAGATGCCCACTAGCGCCTTCGTTAATGTCCAGCGGCAGAGAGCATAACCAGACACATTCATGACAACACTGGTCGCCATCTTTGAAGTTGGGGTTATCTGTTCACTCATCACCACACTTCACGTCACAATGGCAAGAAAAACACACATTTAAATATCTAACTAAACACATTTCTCTATATGTGTGTTTACGTTTCATTGCTAAGGTGTCCCTAAACAACGAATCCGCAAAACAAAATAAAAAGTCTTTAGTTGCGAATAAAATGGACTTCCGTTTTTCATTGCATTATTTCAGTTTTGTGCTCTTCTTTTCGTTTTGTTCTACAAATAATTTGGAGGCACCGATTTTACTTGGTACACATCTCCTCACTTCCTGTACTTCACTAATTCTCATTCACATTCGTCCGAAGTTTAATTTAGTGACTTTAGTATTTTGTATATCACTAGAAATATGAGCCTCCTTCTTGACAGTCTCTTCTGTTCAAATTACTAATAAGTTAATTAACTGAAATAACTCATGTGGTATTAATTTCCAATGTAGACTATGGCGCATCTGTATCATGGTGTCACACTGTCTCTTCATATACATTTACAAACATTTTTAACTGAATTCGAAATCGTGTTCATTTCAATCAAAGACTTAATTGTAACATGTATAAAGTCTAACCACAGTAGCGTTTCTTCCTAAAACGTACATAACTTTTGAACATGTGTAAAATGTGAGAAGTAAATGGCACATATATACTGGTGTAAAAGTTTTGACAGATATTAACTAGGGCGAGTTACTCTGCAAGTACCTGTACGCAAACGCCCAACTTACTCACTTCACGTTCATTCCCACACTGAAGTTGATGTTGCAGTTGCACCTAGAAGATGGCATCTATTCTTTCTCTCTTTCTCTCTTCACTCAGCTGTTAACTTCACGGCTGTGTCCGCTTTCTCTTCCCCCTGCGTCTGTCTACCTTGCAACACCGGTCTGCCATACGGGCTGCGGGGTCACCCTCACCAACGTGGCTCGCTAACGTATCCTGAAAGAGTTGTCCTTGTTCCTATTTGAGCACCACGCAATGAAGACATGTAGCAGGGCGCAGGAATAGCTCCGCGTCATACTTGAGTGGTTGGATTCATGCAACAGTAGGTTTACCTCCGGGTACCCATTGGCTAGGAGGCTGGTTGGGCCCCCTGGCCGATCAGGGTGCAGTGGAAAAAGTCGTTTGCCCCCCGTCCTGAATCGAAACTCGATCCATCTGTCGTGCAGTCGACAGCTGAGTCACAGTACAAAGTGAGCTATCCCTAATAAGTTTCGTCCAAAGAATTGTAGGATGAGTACACATTACTTCCCATATTTTGAAAAAAAAAAACATTAAAAGAGACTTGCGCGATTGCCATGCTGGCTGTCTCTGTGTATCCCCCCTATCAGTTTTTGAAAGGCTGAACCAGTCTTTAGGAAACTTGAAGTATGCCGTCTTCTGGGATGTGGCGCCGTGTAGATTTTGTGTGAACCGACGTTTCGGAAGAACGTATCGCCTCCATCTTCGGGGTACAAAAACCCGCGAGCGAGGAATCAGCGTGAAGCAGGTGGCAGTCTGCAGGCTGCAGACACCTGCTTGTGCTGGGATGCTTATACTGCCGAGACACACTCCTCCGTGTAACTGTGTGGCCAGGCGTCTTTCCCGCAACTAGCCCAACTGTGGCACACTCTAGCCCGCAAAAGACAAAATCAATTCAGTCATCCCCAGTGTTCAGTTATTATCAAAATATGGTCCTTAATCCATTTTTGCTTTTTCATTCGTGCCTATTATTATAATAGACATGTATAGAACATAGAAAAATCGTGACAGGAAAGCCGAGCAGAAGATGGATCTCAGGGAGACGGTTTGTTAGGATGAGAAGTAATTGGGATTTCTCAGGATAGTGTCCAGTGGCTGGATGTAGCATTGCTTGCGTTAAACCTTGAGATTCAGTTACCACAATCTTGGTTGGTTAGTTAGTTAGTTAGTTAGTTAGTTAGTTAATTACGCGGCGGCTGCTATAGCTTAGGCGGTTAGTCTCCGGCTTTCCACCGCGGCGGCCCGGGTTTGAGCCAAGGTCAGGTTATATGGAATTTTTGGTAGAAGAAGTGACACTGGGGCAGGTTTTCTCCGAGTACTTCGGTTTCCCCCGCCAATTCTCATTCCTCACACTGCTCCACTCATCATCATCCGGGGCTGGTACAATAGGCCAAATAGTGGCCGACATAGTTTCAACCCACCAAAAGAAAGTAAGGAAAACTACTTACATAGTTAGTTAGAAGGAGATTTCACGAAACTTACTAGGAGATTCTCATAATAATTTAGTTTTCAGGACCCTTGTTACGCAGTTTTCAGACGCTTTTCTAGTCACGAAATGTCCTCATTCCCCCCTGATCCAGATGTCTGTTCCCTAAATCCTTCCACTGACCCTATCCTGAGCCAACTAAACCATTCATCATACTCACATCCAACTAATTTCGAATACAATTTAATATTACCCTCTCATTTGCCCTGAATCTTCCACTCGTTTTATTCCCTTTTCGTAGCAAGTTTTTGAAAATTAATGCATCACGGAAAAATCTGGCCCTGTAAGGGATGAAGCCGTAAAGAAAGAAAATGAAGTTCTGTGGACAATGCCGAATCAGCTTTTCTTTTTCGCATGAAGATTTCAAAAAGAGATTCTGTTTTAGTACAAATTAATTTCTTTCTTTTGTGTTTCGTAGTTGCAGATGTTGTGTTCGCCTGGGCCTTGCTTCCACGCAGTTCTGGTTACAAACCGCAGACCCGTTTGCAACGAACTGAAAATCATTTCTTGAGCTGCGTCTCGAAGAACATGAACTTCCTCCGACTTGCCTGACTTCATGAAACTGACGAAGTCTGAGTGCACGGAATCTGAAGCAGAGGACGGCTACCACGTTACAGCTGCAAACGGAAACTGCATGTAACAGACCTACTTGTGATGTGACTGATCTGGAACTGCGTATTTCACAACAAACAGAAATTAAGGAACATTTTAATAGCTCTGCGGAAGTTTACTGTCTTCTAGGCCTCGCCATAGCTCAAGCGGTTAGTCGCTGGCTTCCCACCGCGGCGGCCCGAGTTCGATCCCGGGGTCTAGTCAAGTGGGATTTGTGATGGGCAAAGTGGCGCTGGGGCGGGTTTTTCTCCGAGTACTACGGTTTCCCTTGCCAATCTTCATTCCACCAAATTCCCCATCATCATAATCACCCGGGGCAAGTACAATAGGCCAATCAGTGGCCGCCGTGCCGAGTGGACCAAGTTGGACTCCACACCCCACTAAGCGAATTAAAAGAAATTACTGTCTTCTATGGTGTGGTGCTGTGTAGTCTGGTATAAGTTTAACGAAGTTTATGAAGAAAAAGCAGGGATCTGAAGGCGCCCGAAGCCTTTACACCGTACTATATGATCATGAGTCCCTTGGGACTCGGAACCAAGAATCGCTGTGCTGGTGAGGGCCAGCAGCAATATACTGGACTGGACTGGACGTTAGCAAGACTCAGCTCGGATATACTCGTGCTGAATGTAGGGTGCAAGAAACGTAGCGCTGACACGGAAAATTCGGCCCCTGCCAGTCGTCGAAGTGGAGGTCCCATTTCTAAGCACATACATGTCTAGGACAGAACAAAAATCTTGGTCCTGTATCTCGACGAAACTTGAGCGCAAGAATGACTGTGCTGGCGAGGCCCAGCAGGAATTTATCCGACCAAACGAGCAACGCGTTGTCCCCATTTTTGGAATTCTCTCCTTCTTAGTCTTCTGCAATTTTTCTTATATTCATAATAATAATAATGATGATGATAATAATAATAATAATAATAATAATAATAATAATAATAGCAAAGTAGCAGAAGTTTAAAGTATTTGACTCCCTGCAAAAATGTAATGAATTGAATGGCACTAAATCCATCTATTTCCATAATCATGCGTTACAATTCAATAATTAATCGTGTAACTAAGAACACCTGAAGATACCCTTTAAGAGTCGAAAAGTGTAGCGTGGTTTAAATTAAAAAAGCATAGTTACTTTGACGGCTGAATTTTTAAAATTAATAATATTAATAATAACTAACTAGTGCTTGTTCCACCTCGCAATTTGAAGCCGTCGCTCTTGCAAAGGCACTGACAAGAGGCCACGTACGAGTATATCGGTAGGGAAGCATTCATTCGCACGAAATCCACACAAGCCAGTCAGCTGTTCGGAACGTTTCTGATAGCGAAATATGGACGGACAGCCACAGACACTTTTATATAATATGCCTCATTTCTTGTATAATAGAGAAAGTATTCTAAAAATAAAAACATTTGTTTTGAAAGTAGTTATCACTGTAGGAAAAAGCTGGTAAATTTATATTCTTGACACCAAATAATTTGCATTGTCTTTCTTTGAATGTAGTTTTGGCAAAAACCTTTTATAAATTTATGATTTGTTCATATTTTATTAATACAGATTGATGGGTGTGTAGCTAGATTTGCATGAGGTCCCCTACATAATCCTACAGCCTACAAACTACAGTTTGCCAAATAAGATTTAGGTGCCCTGTATGTAGCCCTAGCAGTCGTTGCGTGCGCCTTGCCCTTCTCTGGTTGCAGAGTGACTAGAGGATTGAGAAGCCGGGCCCTGTTCCAGATATGCCGACTTTTATTATAGTGGAAATAAACAGTTCTCGAAATGTCTTTACATGTTTATCCGTGCTTACTTACTTACTTACTTACTTACTTACTTACTTACTTACTTACTTACTCATGGAGCTGAGCCCTTCTGGAGGAGCCGCCAATTCTGCAGCTACTCAAGAATTTCCCAGCATTTTATGGAACTCGAAGGTTCAGTACCGTGTTCACAAGAGTCCTGCACTGGTCCCTATCCTGAGCCAGATCTATCCAATCCATCCCATCCCATCCTATCTCTCTAAGATCCATTCTAATATTGTCCACCCACCTACGCCTTGGTCTTCCCTGTGGTCTCTTTCCTTCTGGCTTTCCCACCAATATCCTATACGCATTCCTCGACTCCCCCATTCGTGCTACATAGCCTGCTCACCTCATCCTCCTTGACTTGATCATTCTAATTATACTTGGAGAAGAGTACAAGTTATGATGGTGCCATTGTAAATAAAATAAGGGTTTTCATAATCATCTTGATTATTTTATGTAATCATTTTTGTGTGCTTTTACAGTTAATTTCGCCGTGAGACAGAATATGTTTCTAAATAACTGCAGCAATCATTTTCCGAGATATATGGAAGGGTTAATTGTTTTAATTAACTGTGTTACTTTCAATGAAAGTAACACGGTAAAACAGAAAACAGAAAACAGAACATCTCTGTTCAGAATCGTGGACAAATATACAGTCTCTGGGTTCATACGTTTTGTTTCTCAAACGGACAGCCGTGACGAGAGTGTAAGTACAGGTAGGTTAAGTGGAAACATTTTGAATTCAAATGCTTTTCTGCACTTCTAAGAAGAAATTAGAACTGAATGAGCTTGGTAGGACAAACAAACAGGAGACTTGTCCCATATGTAGCAAAGAAGAAGACTGGTAACTAGTGGCGGCTCGTAGCTTTCATATGTGGTGAGGCTAGTCACTATATTTAATTCGTGGCAATCGAAATTCGATTAATCTTGCATATATAACCCAATAAGCCATAAAATAAGTTATTTTAGACTTTACTACTATATATATATACACTTGATACATACACTCTAATAATTCATTTTGTATTGCTTTAGAAGTGTATTTTGATACAGTTGCAGTATGTAAATGTTCTTCTAGAATCCTATCCAAATGTGCCACTTCCGATAGTAAATCCCAGAAAACGTCTCGAATGT